CCATGAGAGTGGTGAGACCCTGGAATGGGTTGCCCAGGGAGGTGGTTGAGGCCCCATCCCTGGGGGTCTTTAAGGCCAGGCTGGAGGAGGCTCTGGGCAGCCTGATCTAGTGGGAGGTGTCCCTGCTCATGGCAGAGGGGTTGGAACTGGGGGATCCTTGTGGTCCCTTCCAACCCTGACAGATTCTGATCTGTTTTAGCAGAGGACTTTAGAGCCCTAATGGCTCAATGGTTGGACTTGATGATCTTGGAGGTCCCTTCCAACCTAAAAGATTCTATGATTCTATGATTATACCTCTAGTGGTGAGTGGGATTATTACTGCATAGGGTAGCTCAGATATTCACATACAGTTGAAACTAAAGGCAATTTTAGTAGGTACCACAAATCACGTAATGGTGATTTTGAACTTGGCTGGGAACCCAGACTGAGCACTATTTAAGAAAAAAAAAAAAAGGACAGCACACAGGTTTTATATCTCAACCCAAAGAGTGGTGTGAATCACAGGCTTGTGCACGATTCAGAGAGGAGGCTGCCACCTGTTGCACAGCCAACACTGCTTAGAAGATACCTTGATGGTTCTTAGAGCTTTCTCAAACTCATTGGACTTAAAAAGCTGCAAAAACATTGTGGAAGTATCATGTGGCTACAGACCAGTGCTACCTATCGTGTAGTTTCTCTTTGGCTAGTACAATGACTTAAAGTTTCCAGCTGTGCACCTGTTCTGTTTCTCACCAAACACTTCACCTTCCTAGACTGAATTTTCTGGTTAAGTATTTAGATACAAGAGCTTGTCGTAGGTATTGTGGTGTACAGTATTTTTTTTTTATGCAAAAGAATATCAGTTGATATCAAAACAAATATAAAACCACAGTGTGGTATCTGCTAATGGAAGACCAGAACTAATAAGTGTAGCATCTGTCTCTGTAAGGAACCTGAATCAGTCTTTTCTGTTTTGGACTTTTTCTCTATTGTCTTATTTCTTGCATTTGTGAGTATCTGTATCCATAGTTTGGTGTGGGGAAAAAGTCTCAGTGCTTTCTATGAATGTACTATATGTTCAACAGTTGTTTTTTTTTTTTTCTGATCAAAAGATAGTTTCCTTGACACCTTGTTAAATAAGAAAGTTGTAACTTTTATGGCATACATTGTATTAACATGCAATAGCTTGTTATCAGAAAATGGTGTGGAGAAGAGGGTAAATACTTATAAGGGGTTTTTTTCATTGTAAATAGCTGGTTAAGAAAAGAAAATACAGCTTTGCAGCACACTGACAAAAGCCAAGAAGTGTGGTATTAAAAATTGACACTGACATAAAGGCTAAATATAAATCAGACGTCCTACCCTGAAGCAACTAATGCAATACTTTAAGCAATGATTATATATTTTAAATTACTTTTTTTAAAAAAAATGTATGAGCTGTTAAGCTTCTCAGAACTTATGCAAACAGCTTTCCAAACCAATTTGCTGCCTAAATATGAATTAATAAAAAAAATCTACTAGGAATTCAGGCTGCATGGAGGATTCAGTCCAAAGCTTATCAGGGCTGTTGACAAATTTTGCTGACTTTCAAAGGCAGCGAGTGGATGGGACTGGGCTTGTAATTCCCTTTGTTTTGAAAAAGCTCCTGAAAGCCTGAAGATCAACTCATGTTCATGTGGTTGTTTTGAGGTATCTGAAATGAACAGGCATGCAACAGACTTTTTAATGTGTTAGAAATAAACTAGGTTTAAAACCTAATTGATAATTCTTATAAATTAAATTATTGTGCATGAAAAACTGAAACTCTTAGAAGTGGGGTAGAATATGTAATTAGTATATATATATTTTTAAACAAAATACATTTTAAAGGAGTTTTGTTGCTTTTCTCCTTTCAAAGTATTTCTTTTTTTTTTTCTGTGCTTACACAGAACTTTATCAAGGACCATGTCAAGCTCACAGATGGATTTGTTCTATCAAAGGGCAGAATTGTTGTCTTGAAGATGGGCAGATTTGATTCAAGACATCAAAATACAGTATTACATACCTCTTACCACAGAAATTAAATTGGATAGATGTTGCATAAGGGAGTCATAAAGGCTTCCTCATGCCATGTCCACCACATCTTGCCATGAGAAAGTTGTTTGTGAAAATTTTATTGGATTAAAAGTGTTTATGGGAAAATGTTTATTTTTAAACAAAATAAGCCAGTGATTTTTATCCACTGTTTCTCTTCAAATTACCCAAAAGCAGCAGTCCACATTAGATTTATGACATACAAAATTATTGGTTTTTAAAACAATGTTTTTGAGGGAGAGAAGTTCACAAAAATTTGAAACCACTAATTTTCTTTTTCTAAAGTATTTTGTAGAGGCCAATCCATTTTAAAAAAAAAAAGGCAAAAAGATTGCTCCCAAGTGGTAACTTTAGTTGCCAAGCTTTACACTGGAGCCAATTTTTATGGCTGAATTAGAAACTCCTGAAAAACAGGGGTTTTATAATGGAAACAGTGATGTAATCTTTACTACAGTGGCACAAATGGTGCTGGTATGATTGATTTATGGCATTTAAACATCTTAACTTAAAATCTGCAGTTTCTGTAAAAAAAAATCGGAAAACGTCGTACTGGTGATTTAACACACTCTGCAGATGACCAAAACATTAGTGTTCATGGTTTCCACACTGTCAAAGCTTGGCTTTGTTATGTGTGGCAATCAAGCTTACAAACACCTCTAAATATTATGAAGCAGAATTTCCTAGAAGTGAAATAAAAAAGTAAAAAAAAAAAAAATTAAAAAGCAAAAAAAAAGTTTGTAGGCAGCTGTTTCCTGCAAAGCAGAGCTGTGTTTTAAGTTTCTGAAAAGTCTATATGTGAAAACCAGTTTATAGTGGCAGAATCTTCTACATACAATTAATTCAACATGTAGAGCATATCCAATTTCTTGGTACATGTTGTAAAAGAACTGGTAGGAAGGCTGAGGAAACGTTTAGGAAGTCCCAAGAAGTTACAG